GGGGGGGGGGAGCCTTACCTGGCCACAGAGGAAGACAGTGCAGACAGTTGATGAGACCTGATGGGCTAGGGTCAGATGGAAGGGGAGGAGGACCTCCACCATCAGAGGGCTGGTTAAGGGGCATGCGAGGAGGAGAGTGGGCTAGGTTGGAATTGGTAGGGCATTAGGGAGAGGACTACAGCTGAGACAGAAAGTGAATAAATTGTAATAAATAAAAAAAATTAGAAAGTAGAAGATAAGGCCACCAACAACCTCATGTAAACATGCTAGAAGAAGGGTTCAGTTAAAAAACAGTGGCAGATGGTTCATGTATTGAGAATGCCCTCTCAGCCTTCAGTCAAGCTTCTTAAAATGTATACCAACGGAACAGGGGATCACATACGAAAACATTTTGTGTAAAGCTCTTCATTGTGACACTGGAAAAATTAAGACATGTTTCTAAATGGTATAATCTATGAAAAATCATTAAATATAAAGCAGAAATCTGTGAAATGCATGAAAAGCATCTTTGGGGGGTGTTAGAAAGTATATGACCTTTGTATCTAAAAGAGGCTGAAAATTAATGAAATACCCAATTATCATCTAACCTAATATAAATACTATATTTAATAGAGTAACCCCAAATACTGTTAGTGGAAGGATATACCAATGAGAAAAGGTCATGAAAGAAGATAGTAGGATAACAATGAAGAGAAACAAACCTGAGAGTTAGCTCATTGATAAAACAGGCTAGCTTAGTCTTTATCAGGACTATGAAGGAATCTGCCTTCCTTGAGTAGAAGATGTGTTAGGGAGAATACTGAAGAGTAAGGGTGGAGAGGAGATGATGTCAGACACTCAGGCATGACCAATTGAGACCGATTTGTTGAGCACAATATGTAATTAGAGACAGGCAGTCTGTAATTAAGTGTTATTTTGGCAGCTGGCACTCAGTTTCATAATCAGATGATGGATAGACAGGCAGAGAGACTGAAGATGAATAAATGGATTTCATATTTAATGATCAGTAGACCTAGATATTGAGCATATGTCTTAAAATTTTTAGTTTTTATACACCTACATATGTAAATCTCAGAATCTGAATTTAGTGGGATTAAAAACAAACATAACCCATAAAAGCCCATATAGCCAAACTATACACAGTGCTCTTACAGTAAAAGAGATGTAAGCCAAATATTACCTTCTTCAGGAGCACTATCATCTTCTAGAGGTTTCTCTTCTGCATCTAAGTCAATGCGTTCTTCTGTGTTGTTCCAAAGACTCCAGCACAGGCGGTATAGCTAGCCATAGACAACACACAAGTTTACAGTGATGAAGACACTTAAAAACATGTTCCAAGAATACCTTGTTTAATGTATGGTTTTAAAAACATAACTGAGCCAGAACAGTATAGGTTAGAAGGAAAGGTCTCCTACAAACTCTCTCAGCAAAAACACGTCAACTATTTTGAATTGCTTGTTTTTAACTCTAACATTTGTTCATAACTCCAAACAGTATTCTTAGACTCCTACTTCTGGATTTGTGATGTCAGGGAAGGCACAGATGCAGCGATCCTACACAGGAGCTCGGCTGCAATCGCTGCTGTGTCCTGTCTTGCCTTTGTCAGTGCTGCATCCTGATGACTTTGATTTGGTCTAATAGTTACTATAAAATGTTTGTATTAAGTTCTTTCTCAGGATCCATCATTCTTAGATAGTGTCTGTGAGCTGTTTTTGAATTCCACCTTTTCATGTACCTTTCCTCACTCACCTGCACACTTCTATCAACAATTATTTTAACTGTTTGATATCATTTTGATGGTTATCTGTGATATAATTTATATGTTCATGCTTGATCTTCATATTTTTTAATTAATCCCAGCACTTGGGAGGCAGAGGCAGGCAGAGATCTGTGTATTCAAAATCAACCTATTTTTAATAGCAAAGTCCAGGCCACAAGGACTATACAGTAACACTCTGTCTCAAAAAAGATTTTAAAAATTGACAGCAAGCTGGGTGTGGTGACACACACCTTTAATCCCAGCTCTGGGGAGGCAGAGGTAGGTGGATCTCTGTGAGTTCAAGGACTTTCTGATCTACAAAATGAGTCCAGGACAGCTAGCGAGGTTACACTGAGAAGCCCTGTCTCAAAAACCAAAACAACAACAACAACAAAAAGTAAATAACATATATGACATTCTTATAATTTTTTTTTGCCACAGATTTAAATTGTATGCTTACCAGTCTTGGGCCATTCTAAGAAAATTGTTTCAAGTATCAATAGGCTTTAAATTTGTAATCATATTTTCAGCCATGTAAATTTTATCTATGGATTTCTTGCATTAGTTGGTGAAGATTTACTTGCTTTATTGCTATTGACATAAAAATTATGTGCTTCTATGCTATACCATAATAAACTCTTAAAATAGCATTTCTCATACTAAATCTTTTTGTTGTTTGTAGCCAGACTTTTGGCTGCTTTGTGGGTTTTTCTTTCTTCTACCCTTATGCTACCCTTTCAGCCCTTTAACATATATAGGAGAGAAAAAGGAAAGAGGGGAAAGGGGCATTGTTATCCTTAGACTACTTCCTGCTGATTGGGTGTGTTGAATTCCTTGGGGCAAGTTTGAGCTTTGCTGTCAAAATATCTAATTTCTTCTCTTTATTTCTTCTTTGCACAAAACTACTTGACCAACTACAACCAATAACCTTCTGGAGGCATTTATATACCCGTGGAAGAGTCCCCAGAATTCCAGATGTCACACACTTGCAGAAACTATCTGGATCTGGCAAAATCACACCCCTGTTAGAGCATGAGGTGTGTTTCATTACTCCTTTCTACATGGTTTTCAACAGTTTTCATGGTTATCTGTGAAATAGCTCTTGATGCTAATTAGTCTACATCAGAAGCTGAAAATTCATAATTTATTTAAACACAATGATGATCTCATTGATCCTTGATCAATGAGTTCTTAAAAATTAGTAATGTTATTATTCCTACTGCCATATAATTTCACATTACGTTTTTCTTTGTAATTACATGCTTTCTTATGTTATTTTTATTCAATTCCACTATCAAATGTAAGTATTTAGTAACAGATTCTGGTAACATGTCATTAATAATTTTTTTTTTATTTTTCCTTTTTTTTTTCTTTTTCTTTTTTTTTTAATTTTAGCTGCCAAATGTTTCAAGTTTCCAAAGTGGACATCTTCTACTGGCTACTCCTTCAGTATAGATGCATGTAAGAATGACATTAAAGAATGTGAATGATAAACACAAATTACATAGAAGTATTATTACAAGCTGGAAATAAACTGAAACAATGTCACTAAATAATGAGTATACATATTTTGAAAAAATTAACATTTTCCAGATTCCCACAGTTTGCTCCGTTCTATAGGTAATTTTGTTGAGAATTACAGGTTCGTATATATATTTACTTATTTCTGAGACAGTTTTTTATTATGCAGTTCTGAATGTTCTGGAACTCACAAAGATCAAAATGCCTCTGCCTCCTGAGTGCTGGTATTAAAGGTATGTACTACCATTCTCAGCTCAGATTCATGTTTAAATTTTTCCTTTTTATATGTATTTGTGTCTCTATATATATCAAAAAATTATAGTACAACATGCTATAATATTCTGCATGTCTTTTCCTGATTCAATCACGCTATGAACATGATTAAATATGTATTAGTGCTTCCTCATTTACATACTTATTCTCTTAATGATAAAACATCTGGATTGTCCTTTTTTTCTATTAGAAACTTTCACGTAGAAAATAATCATATTTTTCTACTTTTGTTTATATTTTAAATAAGCTACTAAAAGTGTAATATTTTACCCATACATAGAAGAATTTAAAAATTGGCAACTGCAAATTGCCCTCTTAGCAAGCTTCATGTATTTACTAAAAACTCTGGATTGTGGGAATTTACTACTTTCTTACCAACACAGAATATTATTTGTCTTTTTTATGGGCAATTTGAATGACAAAAAATGAATATCACATGTTCTATGTTCTCATCCCTGTTGCTGTGTGCATTTTTATCTCTGATCATATTGTGGATGTTTTTTGTTGTGTCTCCTAAGTTGGCCCAGCCCAGGTGCCTCTTCTGCTCTGTGGTGTTTCCTGGTCTCTTAGGCAACACCAAGTGCTGTCATTCTGGTATACAGAAACAGTGGCATAGAGTTATGCCCCAGCTCTACTAGGAAGATTTTTAATTTCCAGTTCATTTCCTAATCTCATATATCTTCATTCTCTGGTGCTTTGCATATGCTAGCTGTGAAGCTGTTGCTTGTTTGGATTCTAGCTCTAGTATTATAACGGTTCCATTGCCTTAGCCTGTATCATAACCAACAGTGTTAGGAAGAAAGGTTATTTTTAAAGTTGTCATTCATTACTCACGTGAACATCAGGAATTGGCTTCGTTAGGAAGGAGACTCCCAGGATTACTACTATGGACACAAAAAACAGAATGATGGCAAAGTATGTATAGTGCACTCCACAGATAATCTTGGGACAGTTACCGGGAGCCACGCAGCTGCCTGTTCCATATATAAACTCAGGAATCATACGGGCAAGGCCTACCACAAGTCCAACCATTAGCCCCCAGAATGCTCCCTGAAAGAAAGAAAGAAAGACAGAAAAAAGTTACCATCCTGCATGCTGGCTCCCTTAAGAAAAAGTCAAGAACAGAAGTTTTTCAGAGTAAGGAAAGCTCAAAATATGTCTTTAGCAATCGGCTATTGCTGTCTTTGTGTCTCAATACCAGAGCACTTTAAAATTTGTTTCTTGGCATAATGTTCTTGTGGACTGGGTACAGTTTACCCTTGTTCATTCAAATGTTGATTCCTTGCCCCACTATCTGGTTTCAATGTAGACATTGCATTTTGATGTTTATTCTAAGCACCTCTCGTCTCAAGTGTGTGTAAACATGCCACCATTTGTTCTCTGCATTGCCAACAAAAGCCAACAGGCCAAGGCTGAGCAATACAGAGGAGGGTGAGACATCCTAGGCCAGTGAGATGATGAGAAAGGAGATGGATCAGTGAGGAGAGGACAGAGAAACATCAGGAGAAATGAACCTGACCTCAGATATGATTAAAAAGCAAGTATAATGTGGGAAATCTGAATGGGAGGAAGCTATACTAGTTTAGGATGGCGTTATTATTGCACAACATTGTGCTCTAGGCTAATTAAATAAATGGTAGTCTGTGTTTTTGGTTAATTGTGTATATAGCTGGTTAGGGAGTAACCACTGCTTTATTAAAATATAAATCAACTTCAAATATTAATAACCTTTCAACACTTACTGATTTTTATTTATGTAGATGCGCGTATGTCTGCTTATTTGTATGTGTACCACATGTGTGAAGTACCTTCAGAGGCCAGAAGAGGGAGTTCGATACCCTGAACCTGGAGTTACAGGTGGATGAGAGCTGCCAAGTGTGGGTGCTGGAAACCTACCTGGGTCCTTTGCAGGAGCAGCGAGTGCTCTTAACTCCTGCTCTCTGTTGTGCATTTATTACTATTCCATTCTATTCATTATTGACAAACGCCATTTGTATACACCTACAGGTGCAACTGCCTTACATTATGATGTACATATTTTGGAATGACTGATCCTAATTTCTAAATCCTAGACATCACATTTTAATTTGTCTCAACTCCAGAACTCTGTCCTCTCTAACCAAAGATGAGATTTTCTTCACTTTAGTTTTCCAATCTATAGATTTAAACACTTGCTATTAATTTCACCAAATAAGCAGATCTATGGCTTATATGATTTTCAGGGCTGAAAATAGGTATGTTTGACAAGTCAAATCTTTTCTTTTCTCTCAGTGATAGATGGTAATGGAAACACAATCTCTCAGTTCTGCTCTCGGGAAATAGCAAGGCATGGGGGTCAGGGATCTGAGCTTTAGACTGTAGGAGACTTTGGGAGACTGCATCTGAATCCCAGCACTCTAATTAGTTAGACAGGGCAGGAAAAGCAGGCATCAGCTTCTCCATACTTATTTCTCACCTAAAGACCCTGTTAATAGACAATTCTCCAGAAGAGGTAATGGATTAAGATAACAGTCTATGCGAATCAATCACTTACAGAATAATAGCATTTAATATATTCAAGTTAGTACTAGCATGGTTGATTTTTTTGGTAAACATTTTACATATCATCTTTTTGTACCATCTCAGCATTCAAATAAGGTAGGCAACACAGCTGTTTTTGTATTATACAGTTGACTGATTTGCTTGCTGTCAGTATTGTTATATGGTAAAACTATGACTGGACCTTGGAAACCTGTTTTGAAAAATTGTGTGTGTGTGTGTGTGTGTGTGTGTGTGTGTGTTTAAAAACTTTACAGTGGGGCTGGAGAGATGGCTCAGAGGTTAAGAGCACTGACTGTTCTTCCAGAGGTCCTGAGTTCAATTCCCAGCAACCACATGGTGGCTTACAACCATCCATAATGAGATCTGGTGCTCTCTTCTGGCTTGCAAGCATACTTGTGGGCAGAATACTGTATAAATAATAAATAAAAATAAATCTAAAAAAATAAATAAAAACTTTACAATGAATGCACACAGTTTGTGAAAAATGCTGAGAGTTTAATATGAATGTGCACTGTCTAGACATATACTTTTGTGAGCACTATACATTGTGGCTTACCACAATTGAGGTTGAAATGGGCCTTAAGTGATAGACCCGGGTTGAACTGAATGCATTACTTTTGAGATGGGGTGTCACTGTGTTGTCCAGGTTGGTCTTGAACTTCCAAATTCAAGATGTCTTCCTGACACAAGTTTCTAAATTAGATTCTGGAACCATAGGCATGGACCACAGTGCTTGAGTAAAAGGATTTCTTTTCCAGATTGGTGTGGAATCCTCAAGGTGGTAGAGGCAGGTGGATCTCTGTGAGTTTGAGGCCAGCATGAGTTCCAGGACAGCCAAGGCTTCATAGAGAAACCCTGTCTCAAAAAAACCACAAAACCCCCCAAAACAAACAAACAACAACAACAACAAACAAGCAAACAAAAAAGAATCTTTTTCTATTCTAGAAGAAATTCTAATTTTTTATCCCATTTTTGCAAATGTATTTCTTCATTTTCACTTACCTGTTCATTGACTCTTTTACAGAAGATGGCAAGCATGAAGACAGCACTAATTGGAGGCCCAATGTAGCTAGCAAGTGATCCTATGTAATGAAATAGCTGTCCATTTTGTGATGCCTGTACAAAAGGGACCCACAGGATGCTGATGACGATTAGAACAATGCCAAATACCCTGTCAGGAAAACACAGTGATCCAAGATGAAGCAAGAGCATGGTGCAGGCCTCCGCCATTCCTGAAGTTAATCTTCTACTCTTTCTTTGTTTTTCCAAGCAAAGTCAAGCTGTTTGACCTCACATGAACCCATACCACCCCTAAGAATTACCTGGTAGTGAAATGTGAATGAGTAAACTCAACAGTTAGCTGTAATATATTCATTTGTGAGATTAACTATCTACTCCTGAAATGAACTAAAATTTCAGCAATTTACACTTTTCAATGCATACATCAATTAGAAATAAACATTAGATTATTTCTATCCATCACTAATCCTTTACATGATAAATAAAACAGATTCATCTTTTTCCTTTTCTCTAGGTTGAGGAAAACTGAGTCAATTTACACAGATTAGCATTCAAATTTCAAACATCTCAGATGTTGTGTGGCATGGCAAGAGATGGTAACGTACACTTCATAACTTGAGTTTTTCAACAACTAAAATGAATTCGTTAAAATACTGTTAAGAGGTAAAAATGTATTATGACCATCAGAAAAAAGTCACACACTCTGCTCTTTGCTCCAGGGCCTTCTCTCTCACGTTGAATAAAATCAAATTCTTTGCTGTACTTAAGCAAACCTGTGCACTTCTCTCGGCGTCTCGGTAAACTTGTGTTGCGTTACTCTCATGTGCTCCTCTGTGCTAACACGACTATGTTGTTGACTAAGGCACCATGTCCTGTTCACTTACTCCTGTACAACAGATGTCAAGTCGAAGATAGATGCAAACAGGGGCCTCACAGTATCTAGAAACTGATCCTAGGTAATGAAAATGCTGGGACAAGTAGGAAGATGACAATTATAATGGTAGCAAAATGATTTGAATACTAAATGAAAACATAGATTCATGAAGGCTAAGACTATCAGAAGAATGGATTCCTTATCATTTCTTTCCCAGAGAGCCATGGGTCTCCATACTGTATGTTCTTCAGGATATACTTCACATATCTATAGATATTGTTACTTTTTTATATCCATCTCTGAATTTATTCCCAGAACTATGGCTGTATGGTAGAGAATGTGGTTAACAATTTATTTTCCTCACAAATCATAAATCTCCTTAAGAAATTTTAAAAATATCTATGTTTTTCTCATATTTTTGTTATGTGAAATTGTAGGCTTTAGATATAATTTCCATTTTAGCGAAAACTCAATAATTTATCATTGTAATGTTAACAGGATTTGTGCCTATGATTTTTTACTGAAACTACTCCAGCTTGAGCCCCATGAAATCCAGGCCAGCACCTTCTCCATCAAGAAATTCAGAGGCCTTCTCTGTCTCTGTTTCTTTCTCTCTGCCTCTGTCTTTGTCTTTCTCTCTGTCTCTCACTTCATTTGTGAAGAGTCACGATTTGGGCCTAGTGCACTCTTTGGGTTTGCATGCCAAGTGGTTAATGTGTTAACATTATTGTTAACGTTAGTGCCACAAAAGCTCAATATTTTAAACATGTAGTCTGTTCTTACAGACAATGTAATGTGATTTTAAACCTGTTAAAGCTCTTCTATCGTAGCTTTCCATAGATGCTGTACTGATTTGTTGTGTGGCATGGCAAGAAATGGTAACACACACTTCCTAACTTGAGTATTTCAACAATTAAAATGAATTTGTTAAAATACTGTTATGAGGTAAAAATGTATTATTATCATCAGAAATAAGTCACAACTCTACCCTGGAAGAACTGGGGCACCAACCCCCAGGTTTCCTCACTGTGCAATCTATGGAGAACGAGCAATGTCAGTTTCCTAATGGATAAACTTCAGTTGCCAAGCCACACAGGTGCACGATCCCTTTTCACCATAGGAAACACACATGGATTGTTGCTCAAACTGGATTGTGTAAAGGAAAAATGATGTGTCTGTTAGTTTATCACTTTAATTTCATTTAGAGTTGTTCTTCTTACCATTCACTTTTGCAAAATTTATATCTATTTTTTAAGATCACTTTCCACAATTCTTCTTAATTAAGACTACTGAATATTTAAAAGAAACGTTAGTAGGTTGAGAATTAAAGATACACACACACACACACACACACACACACACACACACACACCAATCTCCCTGGTAGAAGTACATGTTTACATACATTAATAGACATACACAGAAATACCGCAGTCAGATGGCCAGGAACAGTGAATTCTAATATATTACTATGCTGGAAGCCTATACAGTTATTAAATGAATAAAGTATTCACGCACAATGCAACGTGACTGAAATCATGAGTGAATTAGAAAACCCACTGTATTATTCAAGTTAAATAGCCAAACCTGGAAAGATTGAACAGTTTGTGACATTACTAGTTGCGGTTGTTAGCTCTGGAAATGTGGGACCCAAGAAGAGGTTTGGTGTCCTGGTAATTTCTATTTCTTGACAAAAGTTGTGGTTACATGAGTATTCAGTTTTTAAAAACATACATATGGTGCAGGGATAATGAAGAGTGGGAAAGAATAAGTAAGTATGGCTATAATTTTAAGTCTGTAAAGACAAAGGTTGAACATTCCCTAATGATTCTTCCCCTTTCTAGGACCATATTTTTAGTTTTTCTGAATCCAAAGAGCAGGGATCTGTAATTCCTGTCTATATTCACCCTCCTCAGAGGAGTTCTATACAGAGACCAGGTTCCCTCACCGTCCAGCTATCATGAGCTCTTTCTCTGATGCCTTCTTCCTCATCTTGGTGTAGAGGTCCATGGTGAAGAGGGTGCTGGCACTGTTGAAGACGGAGGTCAAGGTGCTCATAAGAGAAGCCAACATGACTGACAGCATCAGGCCTCGCAGTCCTGGGGTCAGGAGAGGGTGCAAGCTCTGGTTAGACAGCATATCATTCACGGCTTATGAGTGATTTGCTCAGTCAAAGAGCCATTCAAGGATAAAACAGTCACTTACAGAGTTATTAGCTAGTGTGATTATCAATGTACACCGTCTCTGAATTTTTCTTGGAGATTTAATCAGTTAACACACACAAATTTATTGAAACACAAAAGCTTCAATACGTGTTAGGTACTATGATTATATAGAGTGACTACATCGTCACAGAATACTTATAACAAGTGTTACTCAAATTAACCATACTTGAATGTAAAAATAAAATGTGGTAGTGAAGTCCTTGGTGTTTAATGTGAGAGTTTAATTTTAAAAAAACAAAGTTATCATTTGGCTGGTTAGCTTCTGTGGTTTATGAAATGTAAATATCTGGATTTATAATGCTCAGGTTATAATATTCATTGCTCAGGTTCCGTTTATTATTAGTTTAGTGATAAATGTTTACATAAAGGTCATGTGCTGGGAACCACTTTAGGTGATACTGCTGAAAAACCTTTATGGGCAAAGCTGATGGTTTTGAACCATTGAAGAAGCTTAACCCTTCAGTTCCTTCCCTCCATCAGTTATGACTCCAGGCCTCCCAGTCCAGGGTAAGATGACATGCATTTGACCTTGAGTATATGGGTTATTGTTCCTTTAGTTTGAATAAGCTTTTGTATGTCAAGGAGGAAAAAAAAAATGGCACAAAAGTGTCCGACAAGACCCCAGGCCACTTAGGTCTATCAGCTCTGTACTTGCTCTGTTTATGTTTTCCACAGCAATGATCAGTTTCTGAAATTACAATAATCAGGATTTCTTAGGTTATAACTTATTATCTAGACTGTAAATCTACAGTAAGTTCTAAGGTGTAGGGTGTTGGAAGGGTGTGTTTGTCACTGTGTATTTAAATGCTGATTTCTGTACCCAGACTTCGGCACTATCATTATTAGGAAGCATCTCCTGCCTTGGTATGTTGTAAACTTCATTCATCACCTTCTGATTGGTAAAATAAAGAGCTGAACAGCCAATTGCTGGGCAGGAGAGAATAAGATGGGACTTCCAAGCCTAGTAAGATGGCAGGTAATGAGCCACATGGCTGGGGAGTAGGCCAGGCCATTACTGACAGGTTAGAAAAGTTGAATATCGGCCCATCTATAGTGAAGCTTTTAATAAAGATAAAGGTTTCTGTATCAGAATTCAGAACAAGGGCAGGCAAAGCAGAAACCTTGCATTTTACAGAAGACAATCATACTTATTTTACTGATAAATTATGGTATCCAAAGCAATGAGAAATGGCATACACTTCGGTACAAAGCTTGTGCACTGAGAGATATTGGTCTAAAGAAGTGAGGGTGAAAGTTAATTTTCAGTCTTCTGACTTTGCCCCTTTGTAGCGTTACAAGGTTTCCTTGGCTAACAAATCATGTAAATGTTAACTGATCTTGGAGACAGCCTCATCCTGGACAGCTGTTCTTCTAAGAGAAATTAGCTCCTCTCTGAAATGTGCAGACCCATCCAGGGTGTGACTGGTAGACTGTGACTGAGTCTCAAGAACTATCTGATGGAAAGGACGGAACTAACAGAAGGGTCAGCAGAGAGTCTGCCCCAGTGTATTTCTCACGGGCCTTGTATCCCTCTAGACACTGTACGGGTGTTTACTAACCATCAGGCATCAGCTCCAGCACCAGGGTGGGGTAGGCATAGTTGGTGCAGCCAACCTCGGTGCCACACTGTTTCACACACTCAGAAGGCACGACGCAGGCCACCTTATCTGAGAAGAGACACAATTCATTGAGCAGGACCCAGCTAGGTACAATCTGCAACGGGACAGAGGGAAGATGCAAGATCATAGGTGGGAGAAGCTATGCTTGTCTAGAAATTGAATACTGAATCTTGAATTTGGTGCTAGGGGTCTAGTTACCCCTTCATCAAAACCTTCTGCAGTGTCTCACACTGGCAGCAACCTTGGCACTGGCCTGCAGGGCAAGCATCCCTTTTGGGTGTGGTCTAGCATTAGAGCCAACATGGGAGGTGATCCCATCCTCTGATAAGTGGTAGAAGACTGAAAACTGTCAGTCAAGATCCCAGATCACCCAGTCACTTTTGCACTCTGTATCTTGCCCTGTTTATGGTCTCCAGAGCAATGATCACTTCCTCAAATTCTAAAACTCTGAACCTCATAGATGTAGCCTAGTATCTATACTGAAAAACTACAATGAGTTCCAAAGTGTTGGGCAATTATGCTTACTTTATTGATAAATTGTAGGCTCCAAACAATGCCTGAAAAATGGTATTTTTCATTTAGAATTCAAATATTTATATTTTAATTCCAAATATAAATTACACCTCATCCCCTGAGGAAGCTGAGTCCTACATCCAGTCACGGTTAACCATCTCTAAGCATCTGAAGTGTGGCTCCTGAGGATCAGCTGGGTGACAATTCAATAAGTGATGACATTTGCCACTTTGAGAGTTGCACAAAATCTTTATGAAAACAGTTTAAGAATAATTTACTTATTTTTATTTTATGTGCATTGGTGTTTTGCCTGACTGTATGTCTGTGGCTGTCAGATCTTGGAGGTACAGACATTGTTAGCTGCCAGGTGGGTATTGGGAATTGAACCTGGGTCCTCTTGAAGAACAATCAGTGCTCTTAACTGCTGAGCCATCTCTCCAGCCCCC